GGTTGTTGTTTGGCTAACCCCATGCCCACAGTTTCGGCCAAGGGAAAATCTTCCAGCCAAGAGTCTATCTCGGGCTTTACTATAGGTCCCCCCTCAAACAATCTGTATTCATCTTCCATTTTGAGAGTCAACACTTGGAGAGGGGCTCCACTTGGGCCTGACACTGTGGCCTCATTCTCCTCGAAATGGATCTGTGCTTTGAGTTTGGTCAGCAAGTCCCGTCCCAATAGTGGGTATGGACAGTCGGGAACATGGAGGAAAGAATGAGAAACCTTACCGGTAGCCAGATGTACCTTCCTTTCAGTAGTCCAACAGTATTGCCTTCCACCGGTGGCCCCTTGCACCCAGGCTGTCCGTCCGCTGAGTTGGCCAGGGGAGGTGGTGAGGACCGAGTGCTGAGCTCCGGTGTCGACTAGGAAGGTGACTGGTTGCCCCCCGACTCTGAGGGTTAGCCTAGGCGCTGGGGGGGGCTCCCGGCCTCGACCTCCCTAGTCTTTATCTAAGGCCAGAAGGGAGGTTTCCGGCCGCGGACCCTTTGGTTTTCGGGGTCGCTTTGGGCATTCTCTCACCCAGTGGCCTCGCTCCTTGCAATAGGCACACTGGTCCTGCTCCACCCTGGGCCTCCTCTGGTCTCCCTGCCTATGTGACCTATTGCTGTTCTGCACTAAAGTGGCCAAGAGGTGGCTTACCTCCTTACTTCGTTTACGGTCCCTAGCTGTCTCCTTCTCTTCAGTTTCTCTGCGTATATGGTCCTCTCTCCTACAGTTTCCCTCTTATTATAGATACGTTCTGCTTCCTTTAGTAGATCCTGGATGGTGTAGCCCTGTAGTCCATCTAGCCTCTGTAACTTATTTCTAATGTCAGGCGCCGACTGCCATATAAACGCCATGGCCACGCCGGTAGCCTGTCCCGGTTCGTCCGCGTCATAGGGAGTGTACATGCGATAGGCTTCCTTGAGTCTCTCTAAAAAGGCTGCAGGAGACTCTTCGGAACACTGACTCACTTGCTTTACCTGTGCCAAATTGACGGGGCATTTACCGGCCCCTCGGAGGCCCGCTATGAGCAACTGGCGATAAAGGAGTAGGTGTCCCCTAACTGCATCCGTGGTAAAATCCCAGTTGGGTCTGGTCAAAGGGAAGGCAGCATAAATCTCGTTCGGTAGCTGAGTCGGCTGTCCGTTCTCCCCTGGCATGTTCTTTCTTGCTTCTAGAAAAACCCTCTGTCTCTCCTCTGAGGTGAGGAGAGTCTGCAAGAGCTGCTGGCAGTCATCCCAAGTGGGTTGATGAGTAATGAGGATTGATTCTATTAGATTAGCCAAGGCGACAGGATCCTTGGAGAAAGGAGGGTTGTGCTGTTTCCAATTGTACAGGTCAGAGGCAGAGAACGGCCAGTATTGCAGTTGGCCGTTCCCTCCTTGTCGTAAGGGGAATGCCTGGGAGGTAATCTCCGAGGGCAGTTGGTCTCTCCGCCCCCAGAGACAGCCTGCAACGGGGGAGTTAGGAGGTAAATAGGTGGCGCCCCTCGGGTCTCCCGCTGGTGGTGTCTGTTGAGCTCCTATCGGGGCTGGCTGCAACGGAGGGGGGTAATAGGGAGGGGGGGTCATCAGAGAGCAAATCCATTAGGGGGGAGTTGGGGTCCAGGGGGAGGACGGGTTTGGGAGATTGTTCCCGGGTGAGGGTAGGGTACAGGGATGAGAAATAAGAGGGAGCTGGGGGAGAAGGAGAGGATGCCAGAGGGGTGGGGGGGGAGGAGGAAGCGGGTTCAGGAGAGACAAAGGGAGTGACCCATGGAGGTGGGTCGTAAGCCAAGTTTTCCCAGGTTACGATGTAGGCGACCTGGTCTGGGTGCCCATGGGGTCCTCTGTCAAAAATCTTCTCTTTGACCTGCAGAATAGTATCAAGGTTGAAGGTGCCGTCCCTCGGCCAACCCACATTAAAAGTGGGCCATTCCAAAGAGCAAAAAATCTGCCACTTCTTTTTCTTTACTTCGACCGACTGGTTGTGGGCGCGTTCTTGAACCTCAGACCAGTGTCCTAGAGTTAGACTTAAGGGGGTGGTTAGGGACTGTCCCATGACGACCTCAAACGAAAACAGGCGACAAACAGACAGACGCACTACAACAAGACAGCTGGCGACCAGACGCGCTGCGCGGTTTCGGCATAGTACCAAAAACAAAAATTCAGATGGAGACTCAAGAACCAGAGGCCCTTGGTCCTCCGATAGGCTCCGAAAAGTCGAGCCCCTGGGACCTCTGGAATGTCTTCCAGGGTGGTGGGGAAGAAGTCCGAGCTCGACAGCTCCTTCTCAAGCCGCCCAGATACGGAGTGACACGGATCCAAGTCGTACAGGCATTTGCACGGACAACAAAACAGACACAGGTACAGACAAGGCAGAGAACACTGATGCTGGCCAGCTTACCTCCTGGTGGGTTTCTGGTCGAGTTGGGCAGGGGTCTTCGGATCTCGGTGGGACCTCCAATGAAAGACCCCCGACGGGAATCTTCCAGGCAGGAGACCCTTGCCCAAAGATTGAGACAGAGCCACTGGATGCAACGGCAAGAGGGTTCTTTATTGCTCACACAGGCGCCTGAGGATGCTGCAGCACTTCGGGAGGCTGAGCATACCGGGCTGGATTCAGTACAGCTTATGTGGGGTTTGGAGAGGCAGAAGCGGGCTCACAGAAGCAGAATGATTTTAGTTTTGGATACATGGCTTTATTTGCATATGAAGTCCTGCGGACCTTGCAAGTGCGGCTCTCAATGAGGTCTGGCAGGTCTGATATGCAAGTGAGGTAGAAGGCGAGAGCACAGCCGATAGGGTACTCGTCTTGGTGATGTCACAGTTTTTGAAATTCGTGCTCTTAGAAAGGGCACGGTTACAGGAGTGCGGCGGGGGTCTTTCAGAACTATCCCCCCAGCCATGGTATTTACTCATTTCTTGTTCCACAGACTTACAAGCATATTCCTCCACTTTGTGTATATATGTGTGTATATGCATCTATATCTTGTTTTCTTAATGAAATTTGCTTAATTTTGATTTGGAAATTATTCTGCAGACAACAGACCTACCCTTTTATCCTTTGTCTTAACTTAACCCCCCCAAAAAAGTCTGAGTATGAATGAATCTGTGTGAAGGACTTTACTCAAGGGGAAAGAGACCTGTCTTTCTGTGGTATTTAAGTCTACAGAATTTCTTTCCCATCTTTGTTCTTTGTACAGCAAAAAGAATAAGGTCAGACATGCCTGCCTCTTCCCTACCCAGACTTAACATTTATATATTAGCATGCTAAAGTACTAAATGTCACAGTGAGAAGCTACTGTGCTTTGAAACCAGCCACCTTCTTAAATCCTGACACAGGCATTTGTGACAAAGCATGCTGGGTGGTCAGCAGTGACCCCTATGACAAAAGAGAAACAAGCAAAGACACCATGCAGCATCTCCAGCAATGTCAGTTAAGTTTTCATCAAGAAAACAGCCTTATTCAAATAAAGCAGCTTATGCAGTTCACAGCTTTGGAAGTTCAAGACTGGGTGTCCCGCTGGCTTGGAAAGAACATGTACAGCACAGAATAGTCACATCTTAAACCAGAACATGGAGCAAGTGACCGGTCACCCTGTCCCCTTCTGGGGCCTCCAATAACCTAAAGACCTTCCACAAGAACCCATGTCTTCCACGGTGTCACCCCGTGGACTGAACCCTCCCTCAGCAGTAATGTATGGGGGCACAAAATTAAGCAAATGGTGCCTGGTGACAGGTACTCTAGGCACAAAGGTGACCTAAGTTTTTGCTTTGTTCTGTCTCTAACAAAGCCTGCTGGCCTGGATTGTAAGCCCTGCACTAGGTCCCAAGGTAAGAGTTAAGAGAGTCTGGTGACTGCAGCCAGACTACTGGGTGTTCATAACAGGTGGCTGTTGGGAAACTCCTGTCCTGACCTATTGCCTGTATGTCTGATTCTGAAGTATCAGATTGAACGTCTTCTAAATCCTGCAGTCTATTCATCATTGTTTCTCTGAGCTCTTGAAGTTCTTGGGACAAATAATTTTCTAAGGATGTCATGGAATCTTTCATTTTTTTACATTCATCATTTACACGTGATTCCAAATATTTAATATTCTCATCCTTAGAAAGTACCTCAATAGCATGTAAACTGCCTTCCACAAATGATATTCTATCAGTTAGTTTGTCATTGCTCTCAGACATGGAACAATTCTTTTCTGTTAGCATTTCAATCTTATGTTCCAGTCTTTGTAGTTTGCTAGTGAAATCATTGAACATGGAACAGTTTTGTTGGCTAAATGTTTCAACATTATGTTCCACTTTTTCAATTCTATCTGTTGAGCACGTTTTTCCTGAAAGTAATTCAATTTTGTGTTCCGTCTCTTTAAACCTGTTTGTCAGACCTACATTATCATTTTTAATATCCTGAATATTTTCTACCAGCCCTTTCTTACTATCCTGCAAGGAATTTTGCATTTCCTGAATTCTTTGTATTAAGATTTCAAAACTATCCTGTGATGACCGTATGACCTGTATACGTTTAGTCCTATTTTGAGCCATTTCTTTAGCAAAATTATATTGATTACGAAACTAATAATCACCATCATGGGTAGGAAGTACCTTTCAGGTAGGTCCTCAACCCTTTCTAAAATCCCATCCATACAAAAAACAAGAAAATTCTTAACATCCTGCATCATAATGTTAGCCGACATTGTATAAAGCAGTTAAGTTTGTTACCAGTGGAGTAATTCAGGCCGAAATCAACAGGCTGCTGGCGAAAGAGCACGTGGCCGGAGTCAGCAGGCCGCCAGTAAAACAGCACGTGGCCGCGAGAGAAATCTCGGAATTCCGCCTAACCTTACCGGCAGGTAGAAGGTGCTGGTTCCCGGTGGCAGGAATCGTGCCTTGCCGAGCGGAGTGGTGAGGAACTTAGCGAAAGGAGAGTCCACGTGTGCCTGGTCGGGCCGAGGAGCAGCTGCTTTTCTGGGCGCCTGGATCCGGATTCCAAAACTTCCGACACCAAATGAGGCTCCAAATGACGCTGTAACGATAAGCGACACACTTACTGAAAGTAAAACTAAGTATTTATTGTAGAAATTACTCACAAGATACCAAACAAGTAACCCAGATGAGCCCAGTAGTTTCCCCACTGCCGAACCGGAAGCCGAACTCCGGGAAAAGAGACCGAGACTTCCTGTGTGCTGTCTTTTATGCCTTCCCCCGTAACGCCCCCCTAGCCATGCCCAAAAGTGGGCCTGGCTAGTGACGTAGTTCACCTCCTACGTATGTATACGTCTTTACCTCCGTCCGTATACGTCTTTAGTCATGCCTAAAGTGGGTGTGGTTAGCAGTGTGGTAAACCGCTCTTACCTCATCTGTATGCGCCTCTAGTAAGTCACATGGTTAATGGCGGCATACAGGCTTCCTCCTACAGGTGGCAGTCCTACTATGGAATTGGGACACTCCTCTATAGCACAAAATAATAAAAGACCCAGAGACAGATACTGGGGTTCAACCTGAAGCTGACGGAAACAAAGCAGCCAAGCTACCAGAGAGCTCTTGCCTCAAAAAGGGCTGGGGCGTCCCTATTTTCAACGTGGCTGGAGAATGAATGCCTGATACTGAGACCCTGCTCCTGTCTTATATACTTCTCATGAGTCCTGGGAAAGAAAGGTGTGAGCTCTGCTTCTCTTTAGGACTGAATCAATCTTGTACAGATCTAGGTGACCTTGGACTCAGATCCATCCATCTCTTAATCCTGAGTCCATGGATTAAAGGTGTGTACCACCACCTCCTAGCTTCTGACTGCTGGGATTAAAGGTGGGTACCTGGCTTCTATGGCTTGTGGCTGACTTTGCTTTCTGAATCCTCAGGCAATCTAACAAATCAAAATATGTCACTACACTCCTCATGACCTTCATCAAATAGGGGAAGAGTCAGAATGAGCTAAAAGCATCGAGTTTTGAGCATGTCTAGTGCTAGATTTTCATGCAAGAAACATTAGTTATCTGAATTCCACAAGCAAACGTACTTTAGACCTGGCCTGCTATTGCAGAATGTTGTTCTTGAGCATATCACAGCATCACCATATAACCCCAGCTGCAGCAATTACTAAAGACCCCCAGCAAGTGAGGGTCATGAAGGAGGGGATGCGACAGATCATTGGACCCTCTAGCTGTAACCCTGCCCCAGCTGTAGTGCTCATTAATGCAGAAACCACTAAGGGAATTAAGGATATCTTATTCAGGAGCATCTATGAGTAACCGTGACCTAGAAACAAGGCTACAGGTTAACACAAATCAAATGCCATACTCCAACCTGCTAACGGTTTTCTGAAGTTGTTAATTACAGGAAAAAGAGTTATAAATTAAGGCACTTTTCAAATACTTACTTGGTAAGCAGAGCAGTCTCTGCCACAGGCCTCAGATAATGTCTGATCACATTTTTTTTCTCTTTTGGGTTGGTGAAAGCTAGTGGATTGTCACAGGATTGAGGTCAGGCACTGAGGTCCACAATGAATGACTGCCGATGGAGCTAAAGATAGCTCAAGATAGTGTGCGAGCAACATTCCAGCTCTCCACAAACGCTAATCATCCACAAACACCAAGTGTTGATCAGTCTACTTCAGGGCATCCTTAGCATAGCTGAGACTTCTGTTCTGGATTCTTCTATTCTTGAGTTCACATGGTGGTCTAGAGATTAGCTGAAGAGGAAGGAAGGGGCACAGTCGATACCAATCTCAGGAGGTCACCTATACTCTGATGGAACTTTTGGAGGAATTACTCGTGTTTCTGTAATCCCTCAACCACACTCCCGTAAATAAACCCAACTAAACTTGCTGGTTCCCTGACCTTGACTTGGATGAGGTCTGTCACTCATGTTCTACTTAGAGTGAGGAGATATTTGCTGTCTACCCAAGAAAAGTTAGTATGGCACCTACCTACATCGGGTTGCCAAGTCACCCGGTGTGGTGTGACTGGCTCAGTGGCCAGGCACTAAACCTTCAAAATGCTGATCCTTCCTATAACTAGAAGTCATCAAAGTGGACAGGGGAAAATCTTCTAAAAAAACTGGGAAAAAAAAATCAAGGGGTAAGAGGAAATGTGACATTTTCTCTCTGGCACATAAGTTCCAATAAAATGTCTGCATCTTATAAGAAAAGTAGAATCAGCCCAGACCTACCTTATACAATATCTGAACACAAAAGAAAGTTCTGTGATTAATTCTACCCAAGTTCATGGTCAAGTTTGACACTTCCAAGAGATATAGGGCAAGTTACTCATCTTGCAGGGAGCTAGATATCTTATGAGAGGTGAGAATCATGTTGAGAAAGTACAAATGGGTTTGCACATCTAATTTCCTAATATCTTGGGTAAAAACAAGCAAATGAAGGGCCCCTCCCCCATGTAGCTGCTGGCTTGCTGTCTTCGGCTGACAGCTATTAAACAATTCAAGTGTTGAATTTCTATTCGCAGCCCTGGCACGGTGTTGATGTCCACTCACGACACAAATGGGAATCCATTGTCTGTGGGGGTCCAGACATGGTGCATCGCCTTGACCCCAGAGTACAGAAAGAAGCGGGCTGAGTATGAAATATGAACCGAACTAATTGATGAAAAGGTGGAGGTTGTATTACAAGGTCAAAGACAAGAAGGTTGGGGAACTCCAGTGGGTTGGATCTGCTCTAGGTTTTATTTTTTCATTCTTCCCTTGTCTCTTATTACTTCCAAAAGCTGCACAATAAAACTAAATTGAGTCACCCTCAAAAGCCAGCCACACCTCACCCCCCCCATACCCACTCTGGAGCTGCCCTGGAATGCGGCCAGGAAGCCTTTGTCTGTGGACTTGGCAGGTGGCTGTGGTGTGCTGCCTTCTGTCCCATTAACCTCTATTTTATCTGTCAAGAATAGTATTCCCCATCGTTGAAAGCAGCAATTTGCCAAGCAAGCAGGCTTGGAGTCCTGTTTGATGGAGCATCCAGAGTGCAAAAGGGAGAGTTTAAACAGATTTGCCTCTCTAATTTCCTGAAAGATCACAGACCAAACTTGCCCTCTGGTAAAATGCTTTCTGTTTGCATTATAATAACAAGCATTTATTGCCTTGACAGGGAGGGAGAGGCCAAGAGAGAATGGCCCCTATTTCCTGGTTTAATTTAGTTCTATTACATCTCATAGCATACCTTGCCACTTAAAACATAGGAATGTACAGACCTCCTCTTTGTTAATGGCCTAACGTATCCCGAAAGACATTTTTCCTTCTGCAACTGTAGGACACTGTGCTAATTTTTGTGTTTCTAGTATTGAGTTCTAGGTAGGAAATTATGTCCAGAATAGATCTTCTACTTTCCTTTTCCTTTGAAGAAGTCTTTACTGTCAAGACTGTGGCCAGAAGATGCAATCCTATACAGTTCAGATAGTTCACCTTTACATTCATCCTTTCATGAGGAAACAACAGCTGCTGCAAAAATGTCCCTCTTATATCTAGTTTGTCAGCATGAGAAAGAATCAAGAATTGAGAACTCCCCAGGAAACTAGTGACTGAGTCTCTGCAGATCAGCCTAAGCCTTGGCACCTCAGACTGATCTGGACTGTTTCTTGCTTCTCCAAAGAGATGAGCCCACGTTTGCATATGTGGGTGCATTGTGTATGTATATGCATGTGTATGCAAACCTGTGTTCACTATTGTGTACTTTTGAGGCTGAGAAGCATCTCTCTTGTCCATCCCTGGTAGTCTGGTAGTGCAGTCAAATGGTACCCATACCTCATGTTGAGCAACGTGTTTGCAAGTCCTATGTCTATCCCCATTTCTCTGTGACAATCTCCTTCATCCAAATGCTTGGCCTGCCCTTCCCCAGCTGCCAGGGCTCTGCTTCAATGTCGCTTCCCAATTAAGCCATTCATTCCTTCAGCACCCTGACCGCACTCTGTGGGTCTCTCCAGATTTGCTGTAACAGCATCCTGGGGAGTTTTTCAAAGAACATCTCACACTACCATTGCATAATTATGTGAGTACTATTTAATGCTTATCATCCTGACTGGGCAGCCACTCCTCTGAAAGCAGAGGCTGTATTCATCTTAATCAACCAAGTCCACAGCAACCAGCTTGAAACAGCCATCATTCAATAAATGTTTGTTGGATCATTGGATGAGTTGCTTAAAGTAAAAAGAGGGCATAAATAAATATACATATATATGAAAAAGGAAGGGTGAGTTAGAAACAAAACATTACAGAAGGGGTCGAGGACCCCAGCTGGGGATGGAGAAACTGTTCAGTAGTTAAGAGTGCTTGCGGCTCACAACTACCTGTAAATCTGGTTCCAGGGCCCCCATCACCCTTTCTGGCCTCCTCAACACTACACACACACAAATAAATAAAATAATGAATCATGGGGTTGACCAGTTAGTATTTCCTCAGATGTACTCAAGTTCTTATTCTCACCAGGCTGATGTGGTGAGAAACTATGCTTTGCTTCTCAAACTCGGTCTAAGAGCACATACATCCATGCACATATGTACAGGATACATCCATATAATCACAAATACGTGCAAGTGTTTGCGTGCACACATGCATGAATATGTTCATGTATGTGCACATGTGTATATTTGAGGCTAGTTTGATGGGATTTTGTGAGTTAATAAATGGAGTTCTTTGTGACTGAAATAATGGAATATTTGTCTACTCAAGCAAACAAAATCTAAGTTGCTCATATTGGCTCTTAACCAGTTGCTGAATTTTAATCATGAAACTTACATGGCATTTGGTTAGTCAGGGGACATACTTTCTTACAATCTCAAACATTTTGAGAATTTAGTTTCCACCCAGCATTCATTCACCTGGTCTCGTGGGTTGACTGTGTTTGAAGACACGGCAATGGGAAGTTACCAGTACACACAGGCCGAAACAAAGAATAGGGTTTGCCCCAGGAAGCTGGCGATGCAGGGCTAGTGAGAGACAAATACCACACTCTCCATACCCCTCCCCACCCCACATCTCTTCCTCTCCTCTCTCAGTCTCTCAGAGATGGCAAGAGACGAGTGAGGTGGTTAAGCCTTTGACACCTGAAGACACCTCACAGGCCCTCTGATAAAGTCAGGGGAGAAAAGCCTGGCTTGCCCATGGCTGTCTTGCATCTAGTTCATCAGAACAGACCTTTACATGAAAAGTTGTATTCAAGGAAACGTGTCAAGGTGGCCTGGGAAGATGACTCGGTTAGTAGTGCTCACCTTGCAAACCTGAGGACCAGAAACCCCATGTGAAGGGCCTTGTCCAGGCAGATCCCTGGGGCTTGCTGATGAACCTACCTTACTTCACAAACAAGGTAAACAGCCCCTGAAAAATGACAATCAAGGCTGACCTCTGACTTCCATGTGCATGAGTATATGCCTGTACCGACACACACACACACACATGTGTGCTCCCATGAAATGTCTTGCTTCCTGGTTTCTCTTAGGTATATCAAGGTGGTAAACACCAAGCAGGTGGAAAGTTTGATGGAAGTACCAGCCTGAACTCTCAGATCCTCTGGAAGTTTCCTTGTGCTGCAGAATATGTCCATGTAGGGGTAAGAAGCCACAATGGCATGCCAGTCCTAAGTCTATCATTGACTGCAGCCATGTCAGAGGGAACTATAACTATCAGAGTGGAGGGAGGTTGTCTCTTAGCTCTCAGACCCTGGGAGGGAAGACAGCTGTGGTGTAGGTTGTTAGAGGTCAGATACAAACAGAAGCTGTGACTAGCACCCAGAGCCAGCAAAGGGACCCAGGGGAAGTAGGTGGAGCACGCTGTCATCAGCTGCAGCTCCCCACCAGTGAAGGGCTCCTAGACTGGAAACTTCTGACTCCTCTGCAGGAGGCAATTAGGGCGATAACCCTCTCACCTTGACTCTGTGATAGCTCTAGTGTAGCTCCTTGTATCATCCTTAATAGATGCAGCTACAGCGACATGCACGTTCTCAAGTTATTATCTACGACAGCTACTCTTTGTTGAGAATGTGTCCAATAATTAATATACTCTGCCTTGTGCATTAGGTCATAGAGCTGTGCGTAGGTCAATATCTGTTAATAATGAGCAGTGGATTGCCTTCCATGTTATGAGCCCTGTGCCGAACAGCGAGACCACACATTTTTGCTGACTCCTTGAAAGGTTCTAAACCACTGGCGACTCTTAGCTGCCTGTTAATTTGCCCTCCTAGATTTATTTAATATGGCTAACGAATAACTCACAGTGGTGATGGTTCCCAAGACTACAGCTTGTCGTTGTCAGCAAATGTGGCCACGTAACAGGAATTCTGTCACCCTTGAAAAACACTTATCCAGCTGACCAGTATTGAGGGAGGTCACTGTGCCTGGGGACCCACCCCAAGCCGGAGATGTGATCCTTCTGAATCTATTATCCTGTTAAAAGGGGCACAGCCTGTGGGAAAGGAAAAACTTCCCTTTAAAGTTCAGTGCCAAAGAGTTACTCTTAAAGTGAAATCCCAGACTCCCTCTCTCCTGGCTGCCCGCCTGCTTTGCTTCCTTCCCGTTTTTCTTCCACCTTTCTTCTCATTCAGGGATTTTCTGAGTGCCTGGGATGAGTCAAGCTTTGTGGGCAGAGGCGCAGGAGGGAACAAAGACCATCTCACTCCTTGAAAGTTGCAACTTCTGTTCTAGACAGAGACTGAATTAGGTTTACACTGTGTTTGCACACCATGGAAAGTGTTGTGGAGGAAACAAAGGTGGAGGAGGCAGTGAATGCTGGCAGGAAATAGGTAGGGGTGGGTGATTGGACCCCTTTAACAGGTAGCGTTGAGGAGGATCTAGTTCCCTGAAGACCTGGAAATAGAGCTTTTGGGTGGAGGGAGATCTGTGTGCAGAGCCTCAAGTCCAGAGTGCTGTAGAAGAAAATCTGCCCAGACAGGACAGCAGACTAAAGCTCACCTAGGTAGGACTCCCCGGGCTTGATTTTTTAAAAAGTTAACTTTTTTACTGTTGGTAGTGTTGTAGTGGAGAGTGGGAGTCAGGAAAGCACCCTGCAAACAAGGCTGGGTGCCTCAGCCACACAGAATGGGCAGTATGTATACGCAGAGGCAAATGGGGAACTTTTGTGTCATCTGGGTTTCTGCCTGAATGCAGGTACCCAATGCACTGCATTTTTCCGAGGATCAAATACATTAGTATTTACTCCCATGAAGAACGGACATGCAATGATTTTGTGCAGAAGTGATGAGTCCATGGTTACTGCTTCCTGTCTATCACCTCTGGACGGAGGTGAAGGAGACCGAGGATGGCACTGAGATAGGGATTGAATGTGTGGCTTGTCATCTGCACGCACAGGTAATGTCCTAGACTGCTTCGAAGGTGTGCGAGCTCTCCAGCCGTTTGAGCTGCTCTTGATGCCTCCTCTGTCCTTGTTTCCGCCACAGCACTCTCCATGGCTTATGGACGTGGGGTGACGTTTGCCTTGCTCATTACCGCACCTCTACCCGCGGCGCCAGCACAAGCCAATGCACACACAGCTTTGTCTGTACACGGGGAAGTTAGACATTGCAGCTGAAAATGTCTAAAAAAATACAAAGACACCCAAAGGAACAAAGCAAAAATGGCTAACTTTGAAAAAAGGGGACATGGTTTTCTCTGTGGCTGATATGTTCAGTCCCTGTTAGATCCAAGTGTGCTGGTGTACAGCCTAACATGTAAGCAAGAATAAAAAAGAAGAGCTGGGCGTTGATGGCCCACACCTTTAATCCCAGCACTCGGGAGGCAGAGGCAGGAGGATCTCTGTGAGTTCGAGGCCAGGCTGGACCAACAGCATCCAAAACAATACAGAGAGACCCTGTCTCGTAAAACCAATAATAATAATAATAATAATAATAATAATAATAATAAAGAGGAGGAGTCTGTGCTGGAAGATGAGAAAACTGGAGGAAAGAAGGGTTAGTGTTCTAGGGGTGCAGCTCAGGAGCAGGGTACTTGTCCCCAGAAGCTCGAGGCTTTGGAGTCCATCCGCCCCACAGAAAAAACACAGGAAGGAAAAGCAGAAACAGGAATAACTAGAACTAAGGAACTGATCAATGGAAGAGACAGAACACTCAGGTGCTGTGCATATAAAAATCACAACTCAAATGTAACTACGAAACAAGACAGCCAGCCACAGTGACCCATGCCCCTAAGTCCAGCACCACGGAACCTGAGGTAGACAGGCTCTGAGTGACAGTGCGGGCTACACTGGTTTGAACCCTACCTCTATCTCTGAATAGTTCCATGAGTTTGGAGGACACTGCCGAGTTCACCAACTTCCCTTGCGAACAACATCCCACCTCCCAGAACAGTTAGGAGTATCAGCCTGGTGGGCACATGGGAAAGAAATCAAATCTGTTAGAATTTCAAGTGTGCCATTGCCCTGGGCAATTAGGACCTGTTTGGAGCCTGGTCAGAGTGTTCTCATTTAAGTGGACTTTGAGTTGAAAGTGGGTTTCAACCACAGGACAATCTGGGAGGTCCTGTCCTCCAGTTTCGGGCCACAGGGTACTGGTCATTTGACACATTCCACGTGTGTCACAGTATCCACCGCGGTGTTGTCCTTCCAACGGGTCCCCTCCTCAGGAGGACTGTTCCCGTAGTTTGAATTTTGTCCTGTTATACCTTAATATGCAATTAAGTCTGGCTTAAAGGTAGGGACAGATGTCATCACCTCCGGTGTCCTGGTGGCTGTCCTTCCCCCTTTGCTGCTGTCACGAGTGTGGGAGGGAATAAACATTCTTCAGTCCTCCTAGCTGGCTTGAGACACAGACCTGGAGACCTGAGAGGATGCACACAGCCGTTTTCCCCTTCTTCAGTCTCCTGGTTCTGTTCTCCGCGAGAGGCGACACCTCTTTGTTAGTGGGAATTCAAAGCGTGCGCGCTGGATGATATAACCACGCCTCCTCCAAACAATATTCACCCTTGTCTACTGTTCTCTCCTGGCTTTGTCCTTAGGCAAGTGTGAGATCGGCTGGGCCTACTACTGCACCGGGGCGGGCGCTGCAGCCGCTATGCTGCTGTGCACGTGGCTGGCTTGCTTCTCGGGCAAGAAGCAGAAGCACTACCCCTACTGAGAGCAGGCCCTCCCTCCCTCGGGAGCAAGTGGCAGAGAGGACGGACCACGGGGGACTGATGGGGCCAAAGCATCGGCTGCTTCCACAAGGAGGTTCTAACCCAGTACAACGTTAATGTGATGAAGTCAGATCGAATCTGGAACATTCTCTAGGAAGGGGCGGGTGGTGGGGAAGTTGTCAAAAGCGTGGGGAATATGGGACAATGGAGGAAAATGGACCAAAGGCTGAGAACACTGTAGGATGTTGTGTGTTTCTATTCCACAAGGATTATTAATGTATGTCACACACACACAGCAAATCTATATATGCAAATGAGGACCTCATTTTTGTTCTCCTTCAAAAAGATGAGGACTAGGGGAGTCAAAAGGGCTAGTAGAAACAGTATTATCTTAGGAAGCAGGACACGACATGTACCCTGCAGACATTCCCTGACAATGAGGACTGATCCTGAAAGCACATAATCACATGCATACATACATACATACACACGCATCACACACACATCATCACACTGCTGCACAGGGGGCAGCTGTGCACTGCTGCTCCTGAGTTTTTAAAAATATCCATCTTACAGTATCATCACTTTATAAAAGCATACATTAAGCCTAGTCCATGGACCAATAAGCCACTCTCAGTATTTTTGATATCCTGCATAAATGCTTTATGCCCGCAGCGTATCTTTGGTGTTTATGCATATCTTTAGGGGTATTTGTATTCAACGTTATTCAAAGACATAGTAGTGATCTGAGTAGCTTCTGCTGTAATATCCTTGTGAAGAAACAGGACAGCTTTTGTCCACAATAGGTAGGAATTCAGTTGCAGATTTGAGAGTGAAGAGAATTCTTTCTCCAGTTATTGGATTTTTTTGGTTCATTATCCTACTGTGCTATACTGCAATTATTTCAATATTCATTTTTTAAAGGAAAAAAAGCACTATTTTGTTTGTATTTGAAAAGCTCTGTGAATAAACTCTCTTTGATCAATAGCTCACTGAGTCATAGAGTGTTAATTCACTTATCGGATTTGCTTAATTTCTTAAAGAAAGCCTTTCCTACCGTGGTGGACAGCCCTGTTAACCTGATTATGTTTCATCTAAGGCCACCTCTTGCAGGCATGGAGTACATGAAAGGTGAGTGTCTCCTTTTAGCTCAGGTTCTTTGAAACCTTTGGCTCACTTTTAGCTCCATCATGACAGATTGTCGGAGAGTTTCAGGACTGCTTTGTGTGTTACGGGAAGAGACACAGTGTTCCCACATGCTGCTGGACTGCAGGATGGACCGGCACAGGCTGCGTGTCACGTGACCGCCTTCCCACTGTCAGCCGGGTGCTGCTGCCTTCTGAATTCCTGTGCCAGCACAGGTCACACTACTCTCGCCTGAGGATCTTAGTCACCTGTGAGCATCTGTCCTCTACAATGGCCCCCAGCAGGAAGCCTTGATTCCAGAGAACAGTTTAGCTCTGTTATTGTCATCCCCCCCCCCCCAACAGAGTCAGCTCTTCAGGAGCAAATGTTGCAGGCCAGATATTGGATTCACTCTATCACAAGCCTTAGCTAGTGTGTCATATCTTTGAAAAGCCACCTCGCCATGGGGACACTGATCCACCATTCAGCTGACACACTCCCACCCCGCCGCCAGCCCCCAGTTCTGGCTTAACTCAAACAGCAGGCTTTTCTGCTTTCCTCGTCCAGGAAGCTGCCGAGATTTACAGCTTGCCTGCCCCAGGGGTTTTTTCCCTACACTTTAATAAACCAGTACTCTCTGAATAAACTTCAGCCTGGCTTGATTTTCAGGAAAAAAAATCCATTCAGTTTTAAAATTTCATTCAGAGTATTTAGAGATTGAACACTCACGCTATATATATATGCATGGAACTATTTTCTGTAGTCCACACACATTTATCAACTTCACCTGAACAGCGTTAAGCATTTCAAAGTCCACACCAGCCTCCTGGCCCTCCCCCTTATAAACCTGTGGTCTTTCCACACCCCTCTTCCCTAGCCCTGGCCATGCCCAGTCTGTTTCTTTTTCTATCTGCTCTGGATATGTTCTCTTTCTTATCCACAGCAAAAACCTTCCCCCCTAGAAAACCGCAGCAACAGCTGACCTGAGCTGCGTGAGACCAAACTAGACCCTCTAAATGTGGGTAACGGTCGTGCGGCTTGATCTGGGCAGGGGGAGGGTGACAGTGGCACCAGACCCATCCCAGGTACATGAACTGACTATTTGGAGCCCGTTCCCTACCGTGGGAAACCTTGCTCAGCCTTGCTACAGGGGGGAGGGGCTTGGTTCTGCCTCAATTTGGTATGCCAGACTTTGTTGACCTCCCAAGGAAGGCCTTTCCCCCTTCTGAGGAGTGGACAGGGGACGAAAAGGGAGGGAAAGGAGAGGGTGGGGCAGGGGGAGGGAGGAGGAACTGGGATTAGTATGTAAAATGAAAAATACATTTTTAAATAAAAAAAAAACCTTCCCACTAATGAAGCATCCATTTTGGCAGTTTCTCCCATCTCACAGCAGTGGGACAGCCCAGCAGCACATGAAGCAGTAACCGCGCAAGCCTGGCGATTTGAGTTTGATCTCTGGAAGCCATGACATAAAAATTGCCTCCTAAAAGCTATGCTCAGGCCTCTGCATGCATGTTGTGACACATGCATGGCTGCACGCATATGCACAGTAACAACATCATCATGGTCATAATAAACTAAATCTAACAGAGAGAGTTTCACACATTGAGCTGGGATTTATTAGCTCAGTGGACCAGTACTTGCCTGGCATGACCACTCTGCACTCCAGATCTAACACACACCACCCTGGAGGGTCACTGGCCAGTGTCTCGATCACTCTCTTACACACAAAAGTTTTAGATATACATACTTATATCTCATCTTGCTAAACCAACATAAAGAAAATCAGAGGGGGAGGCAAAGACGGGGGAGAGCTACATGTCTGATAAAGACCTTGTGAACAGAATACATCTACAGCTGTTGCAGGTGAATGGGTTTTAAGATTCAGTGTTTTTCTTCCCTTTTTAAATTTAAGTTAGAAACAAGCTTGCTTCACTTATCAATCCCAGCTCCCCCACCCTCCCCACCAGGCCCCCCACCCAGTCTCCACTCTGATCCCCAGGAAGGGTGAGACCCTCCATGATGGATCTCCAGAGTCTGTCATGTCATCCAGGGCAGGGCCTAGGCCCTCCCTCAAGAGTCCTGGCTGAGAGAGCATCCCTCATTGTGGGATGGGCAGCCAAAGTCTATTGTACGCCAGGGATAAATACTACCCAAGGCCCCGTAGATTACCTAGGCCTCCTCACTGACACCCACGCTAAAATTCAGTATTGTAACTGACCAAAAACTTGAATAAGTTATTTCTAAACAACTGAAAGATATTCAACAAAATTAGACAACAAGAAAATGGACTCAGAACCACAATGAGATCACAAAACACATACTAGATAAATAAAAAGTAAAAATATTGGCAACTCTAAATGTTGTGGGCATGTGAAGTCATAGCTAAAAGACTATAGGTTAATCACAGTAATATATATTCTCCTGAGTGTTTGTACTCTGGAAAAAAAAAAAGCAAACCTATGACCACAAGATAACTGTAGAAGAATGTGATTCAGTTTTACCCTAAACTGGTAAATGTCTGATAAGTGCATAAACACAGCATGGCATATCAACAGCAGAACGCTACTCGCCAATAAGGGATAATTAACTCCTGGTATATAAAGCAATCTGTTTCAGTTTTACAGACATTATGATGGAATTAGAGATAGCATACTTCCAAGACTTTTATGCTGACAGAAATTACAACAGTAGCTGTGGACAGGAAGACACTCACTAAGTAACCCCCGTCCTCACTTATTTGAGCAATACCAATTAAACCTACTGGGTCTCTCTCACATTCAGAGGAGGACATGAAGGTTAGAGGGGGTTTATTGGGAAGAAGGGGGTCATTGAGAATGATAGGGCATAAGAGAGGGCACTGGGAGGTAAATGTGATCTGTGAGTGTGTATGTGTGTGTGAAAAGTGATAAAAATAAAGTAATAAAATTATGAAAGATTCTGGAAAAAATAAACGGTGGTAAGTTGAGTAATGACACCTGTAACGTTAGAATTGGGGACATGGTTACTACAGAAGATAAGGAATCCAAGACCCACCTCAGTTATACAGTATACGAAAGACACATCTCCAGCCTGATATACATGATTTTGTCTCAAAAATAAAAGCAAACAGGAGCTGATGAGATGGCTCAGTGGTTAGCACTTGCTACTCTTGCCCAGGACTGGAGTTTTAGTCCCAGCACCCACATTGGGTCGGCTCACACTGACTGCAACTCCAGCATCATGTGATCTGGCACCCTCTTCTGGCCTGTGCAGATAATGCACAGACACAGACATACACACACACACACACACACACACACACACACACACACACACACACACAAACCAAAATAAGCAAACACAAAAAGATGACAACTGTCACTGCCCTCTGTTGGAGTGGGGAACAGGGAATCAAGTACTGAGGACATGGAAAACTTCCCAGGATGACAGGAATACCCTGCATACTGTTTGGGAGTTAGATACGCTTGCCAAAGTACATGAATTTGTACTCATGAGATCTGCGTTGAACCCTAATAACAGAGAGGTGGGGCAGCGTAGAGCTTACAAGGACCAAGGGCAATCTAGAGTGGCTGCAGTAATGGTACAGTAGGAGTGGAGAGGGAGGAGGCTGGAGAAGGGTTGGAAGTGCAGTGAGGGCCGTGCTGTGCAGAACACAATTTAGCACTGATCCTGGGAGGAGTGAATGGACTGAAGCAGACAGTGATGAGGGCTATGCAACCTCTGCATTTCCAATAGATTGCTGAGGGCAGGGGAGAGGGGGAGGAGCAGGGGAGGAGAGGGTGCAGGGGAGAGGGGGAGGAGCAAGAGAGGAGAGGGGACAGGGGAGAGGGGGAGGAGAGGAGAGGGAGAGGGGGCTGGGGAGAGGGGAAGGAGAGGTGGAGGAGCAGGGGAGGAGAGGGGGCAGGGGAGGGGGAGGAGCGGGGGAGGAGAGGGGGCAGGGGAGAGGGAGAGGAGCAAGGGAGGAGAGGGTGCAGGGGAGAGGGAGGAGCAGAGGAGGAGAGGGGAAGGAGCAGGGGAGGAGAGGGGGCAGGGGAGAGGGGGAGGGGCAGGGGAGGAGAGGAGGTAGGGGAGAGGGGGAGGAGCAGGGGAGGAGAGGGGGCAGGGGAGAGGGGAAGGAGCAGGGGAGGAGAGGGGAGGAGAGGGGGCAGGCACTCACCAACTCAGGTGTGGAGTCTTCCAGGTAGCAGGTGCAGGGCCCAGGGAACAGTTGAAGACCAAGGCCCAGGAGCCACACTGGATTCCTGAGACTGGAGAAAGGAAGGAATGAAACCAGATGAAGCCTTAGGGGACAGCATCATCACTGAACAGATACTAAGGACATCTTTGCTGAAGGAGCCATCAGGGACCACAGAAGAAATCTCAAGGAAGATAAGAAGACACACACACACCAACAGCAGGGAAGAGAATTGTAAGTGGCAGGAACGCCTACGAAGTGATCCTAGGGAGTGTGTTGGAGGAGGTGTGTTGTAGTTAATTATTTGCTAAAGAGAAAACAAGCCTTTGCTTAAGAAGAGCTTTAGTAAAGTGAGGGGACAGAATTGAAATTACTGCATATTACAGAATAATTACAGAATTGTCATAGATACGGATGGGGGAGAGGAGTAAATGAACACAGAAGAGAGTTTAAAAAGCGCCTTTCCAGAGCACTCATTGCCTTTGCAGAGTTCCCAGCACCCACATTAACTCGCAACCATTAACTCCAGTTCCAAGGGATCCAACACCTTCCAGCCTCCGTGGGCCACGTCTGGCTCATGGCACACACACATACATACATATACACACACACACATACATACATATATGCATACATACATACATGCAGGCAAAACACTGATACACATAAAATGAGATTAGATCTT